TGAAGTCGCTCGCCGTGCTAAGTTTACCGTTCAGAAACCGCTTGCGAAATTGTTTTATATGGGATTGATTCCTGAACTCCGACCGCTTTGCCGAGTTGATCTTCGTGGTGCTGAATTTACCGATCTTGATACAATTGTGCAATTTGCGCTTACTGAAGAATGAAGATTGCGAGCTCGCGGGCAGGGTCAATCTCGCGCGGCTCTTCACTATGCTGCTGCCGCTTCCACGAAAACTAAGCACCGTTTTCACGGCTCCCGACAGGACTCTTCGAAGCTCTCCGGCAAACGAAACACCGAACCACAACCGTGGCGCGATGTCGTTGTGAAGCGCGTCAGGGCGGACCGACCTCCGACTACCGAACCCACCGTGGTGGCTGGAACTGCGACCAACGCCATGAACTCCGTTCGTCCGCCAGCGCGTTCCGTTGCGCCTGCTGGACCACCGCCTCCGATCCCTGGACCCCCTGTAATGGTACCTCCACGACCTCCGTCTTCTGATGCGAAGGTGTCAGTTATGCAGGCGGCTCTGAACAGACCCAACGAACTATCACGAACTCCGAATCCGCTCCGTTTAGGTACTTTCCTTACGAATTGGGAGAAGTACCAATGGATGCAGCAAGGGAAGTGTTACCGTTGCGGCGTTCAGAACAACCACATCAGCTCGCGCTGTCCGAATCCGCTGGTAACACCGGAGATGTTTCGCCGGCCAGAGAATCCATAGGAGTTTGCCCAGTCGTTTTCGTGTGGCACGCGTACTGGGGACATGAATTCGCATGATTTCCAAATTATTGATTATGAGTTGTTGCGACAACTAGAGCGTCGAATTGGACGAACGTTTTCTTTGGACGCTGCTGCGAACGATGATGGAAGTAACTCTGTCTGTAAGATGTTTGCTTCACCGACTCGTTCCTTTCTCAATTCCGATTGCTCTGGCCACACTATCTGGATGAATCCTCCCACGAAATTGTTATCCGATTTCCTCCGTCATTACCACCGTTGCAAGAGTTATGATCCTAGCATATCCTCTTGTATTTTGATTCCAACCGAACAGAAACGAATACGACCCTATCTGAAAGACATGACACGACTTATGATTTTACCGTCCGGAACTCAGTTGTACCGTTCATATCGGGTTGGTTGCCAAGATCCTCCGCCTGAAACGAGCACTTATGAAATTTGGTGGGATCCACCTAAAGGAAAACCGATTGAGCCGAAATGTTCAATAACCGAAACCGATACTCAGTTGCATCTATTTGCTGGACGCCTTGGTGCTAATGCCGTGCGAGTTCTTCCGGACACTGGCGCTACGCACTGCTTCGTTTCCCAGCTCATGGCTACCAAACTTGGCTTGCGGATTTTGCCTACGCCGCTTGCTCCAGTGCGCCTGGCCGACCAGTCGACCGTACCTATTCTTGGTGAGTGTCGAGCTCGTTTGCGCCTTGGTAGTTTTGGTACCGATCTCCGTTTGCTCGTTTTACCGGCTTTGACTGTATCTGCGGATGTGATCCTTGGCACGAACTTCCTAACCCGTTATGATGCGCAATTAAGGCCTGCGCGTAGCGAACTCAGTTTATTACGGCCAAACGGTGTGCGATGCACGTTGCGAGCAATGCACGCCCCGTCTTCTTCTGTTTCCGAATCACCGAAACCCGAATTTCTGTTGTTGGAAAGAGCTCCAGCTCGCACGTCTGTGGTATCCGCGGAGCGCGTGTTTAGAGACCTTTTCGAGTCGCCCGGCTCGCGTGGGCTGCTGGTTGTCGTGAAACCGTTAACCGAATCTACCGCACATCCTCCGACCAGCCCCATTCCTCAGGTCAATTCTCTCGAACTTCCACCTGAAATCGAAACGAACCGAACCTTAGCAACAATCTTGCATGAATATGCGGATGTGTTTGCTCCGATTTCCGGGCTACCTCCTGATCGTGGGGTACATCATACGATTCCGTTAGAGCCTGGTGCGCAACCGATTTACCGTCCTCAGTACCGTTTGACACCGTTGGAAAAGGAAGAAGTTGAAAAGCAGGTCAAGGACTTGCTGGCTAAAGGGTTTATTCAACCCTCAACATCTCCTTTTGGTGCGCCTATCCTCTTTGTGACCAAGAAGACCGGTGAACTCCGTATGTGTATCGACTACCGAGCCTTGAATCGATTAACGATTAAGAACAAATATCCGTTACCACGCATTGATGATACGTTAGACCGGTTAGCGGGAGCACGCATCTTTTCCGCTCTCGACTTGGCTTCTGGTTATCATCAACTCCGAATTCACCCCGATGACGTCCCGAAATCTGCTTTTAATACACCGTTGGGACATTTCGAGTGGTTGGTGTTGCCTTTTGGGCTTTCCAATGCTCCTGCGACGTTTCAAGCAACCATGAACCGGATTTTCGCACCGTATATGCACCGATTTGTCACTGTATATCTGGATGATATTCTGATCTTTTCGAAAACTCCGGAAGAACACGCTGAGCATTTGCGGTTGGTTCTTGAAACGCTCCGAAAACACCAACTGCACGCGAAACTTTCGAAATGTGAATTCTGGAAAACCGAAGTCAAGTACCTTGGTCACATCGTAGGCTCTGCTGGTATCCGAATGGACCCGAATAAGGTGGACACGATCCGAAATTGGCCACAACCTAAGGACCTAAGTGAGCTGCGCGCCTTCGTTGGCCTTGCGAACTATTTCCGACGATTTATCCGAAATTTTGCGTCTTTGGCCGCGCCACTTACGGATCTCTTTGGCAAACAGCGCCTCCCGGATGAATGGCCACCTCAGGCGCTGGCCGCTTTTCAATCCATTAAAGAATGCCTGTCGACCGATGTCTTACTGAATTATCCGGATTTCTCGAAACCGTTTGAGCTTGTTTCCGACGCATTGCTCAATGGAACCGGTGCTGTACTGTTGCAAGACGGTCGTCCGATTGCTTTCACGAGTAAGAAATTTTCCGCTGCCGAACGCAACTACTCTACCGGTGAACAGGAACTGTTGGGTGTTGTGAATGCTTTACACGAGTGGCGATGTTACTTGCAAAGCAACATCCCTTTCACCCTTGTTACCGATCATCATCCGCTTACGTATCTGAAAACACAAGCTCATCTGAGTCGACGGCAGGCACGCTGGGTTGAATTCCTCGAGCAATTTACGTTTGAGTGGGTCTACCGACCTGGGAAACTCAACGTTGTTGCCGATGCTCTTTCTCGACATCCGAATCTGGCCATGATTCTCTGTGCGGTTCCTCCTGTTACTCCTTCTTCCGACCTTCCGATTTCGTCCCGAATTGCGGAAGCGACCCGCAAGGACGCTTGGTTTCAGAATCCGAATAATACACGAAAATTTTATGAGCACCCAGGAGGGTTCTTTGTCTTGGAGGAGGAGGGGAATCACCGAATCGTCGTTCCGAATGATCCGATTCTGAAACACGAAATTATCGCACGAAGTCACTCTGATCGTTTATCTGGTCATCCTTCTTCTGGTTTACCGGCAGGTGAATTACATCCACTACCGATCCCTGATATGCCTTGGGAAAGTATTTCCATGGACTTTATTGTGGGACTTCCGAAAACCAAACGCCAGCACGATGCTATTCTGGTGTTTGTCGATCGCCTAACGAAAATGGTACATCTGGCTCCTTGCCGTACTACCGCTACCGCCGAACAATGTGCTGACATGATGTTTCATCACGTTGTGAGACTTCATGGAATGCCACAAAAGATTATCTCCGACCGTGACCCGAGATTTAAGAATCTGTTTCTACCGGCTTTGCTCAATCGAGCTGGTGCGAAACAAAACACGAGTACCGCTTTTCACCCTGAAACCGATGGACAAACCGAACGAATCAACCGAATCCTTGGAGATATGTTACGACAATACGTTTCGACTGACACTGAACAGTGGGATCGTTATCTCGATGCCGCTGAATTCGCGATTAACAATCTGCGAAACCGAACCACGGGTCAGTCACCTTTCTTTCTGAATTACGGTTTCCACCCGCGAACGCCTCTACAGTTGGAACTTGCTGATACCGTTCCCGCTGCTAAGGTGTACGTGGATACGTTTCATGAACGACTGAAACTTGCGAAACGATTCTATCAGTCTGCGCAAGACCGAGCTGTACAACAGGAGAGTAAGAAACGACGTACTGTAACCCTCCATGTTGGTCAACAGGTATTACTGAGTACGAAAAATCTGTCTATACAGAAAGGCACACGAAAACTGATGCCCCGTTGGATTGGACCTTTTCCGATTACTGAAATGATTAATTCCGTTACTTTCCGTTTGGATTTGCCTCCTGAATACCGATTCCACGATGTGTTTCATGTGTCCTTACTCCGACCTTACTGTGCTGACGTCCCTGATGGACCTATTCAGCCTCCGAAAGCTTTGGAACTTGACCCCGTCACTTCCAAGCCTGTCTGGACGATTGAACGAATTCTGAAGCATGAAACCCGTAAACTGAGAAAACGAACCTTATACCGATTTCTGGTCAAATGGAAAGGACATACTGATGAGAACAACACGTGGCTTGATTCTGCCGATATTTCTGATCGAAATCTGATTACTGAGTACTGGAATGCTCACCCGGAACACAGCGAGGACGCTGGTTCCTGGGGGGAGGAGGCAGCTGTTGTAGCGCGATAGCTACACAGTAATGATGAGCTTATCACGAAATATGCGAATCAATTATGATCATGAAATCTTCTGAAAACTGACCTGGCTGTCAAGAATCGTTTGTAAGAATTCACCGGAACTGAACATCATGAATCTGTACGACAGCCTTACCGAAATCCATAAATTTACTGAAATCGTCTTTGCTCACAGAACGGACGTGGGTTCTTTTAGAATTCATATTCTACTCATGTTCGGAGCGCGGTCTTATACCGTTGTCGGGGCAGTGCCGGCCTGAGACATACTTCACGGGCCAGTAGCACTGCACTATACTACAACACGGACAGTGAAGCACCCAGGCAGAGCTGCCTTGGGCCGGTAGTTTGTGTTACGTTTATCTGCAAGGCCAGCACCAGCAGGTTTTGCTCTCGGACAGTGAAGCACCCAGGCGGAGCTGCCTTGGGCCGGTAGTTTGAGTTGTGTTTATCCACAAGGCCAGCACAAGCAGGTTTTGCTCTCGGACAGTGAAGCACCCAGGCAGAGCTGCCTTGGGCCGGTAGTTTGTGTTACATTTATCCGCAAGGCCAGCCCCAGGGGGTATGCTCTCGTGCAGTGAAGCACCCAGGCTGAGTTGCTTTGGGTTGGTAGGTTGTGTTGCATTTATCCGCAAGGCCAGCACCAGCAAGGTTTTGCTCTCGTGCAGTGAAGCACCCAGGCAGAGCTGCCTTGGGCAGGTAGTTTGTGTTGTGTTTATCTGCAAGGCCAGCACCCGCAGGTTTTTGCTCTCGCGCAGTGAAGCACCCAGGCAGAGCTGCCTTGGGCAGGTAGTTTGTGTTGCGTTTATCTGCAAGGCCAGCCACAGCAGGTTTGCGCTCGGGCAGTGAGGCACCCAGGCGGAGCTGCATTGAGTCGCTAGGTTGTGTCGTGTTTATCAGGAAGGCCAGCCCCAGGGGGTATGCTCTCGTGCGGTGAAGCACCCAGGCTGAGTTGCCTTGGGGCCAGGAGGATGGGTCGCATGTATTCGGAAGGCCAACCCCAGGGGTTTGCTCTTGCACGGTGAAGTACCCAGGCTGAGTTGCTTTGGGCTGGTAGGTTGTGTTGTGTCCACCAGAGGACCAACCCCAGCGGGATTGTTCTCGTGTAGTGGAGCACCCAGACGGAGTGCATGGGGCCAGAAGTGGACGAGGAGGACTTGGAGCCAGAAAGGGGAGATAACTCGGACAGCAGCAATGGATGAGGTGCAGTTGTGGAGGCCCGTTGGTGAGGGTGGGAATCGGGGCAACGGGTACCAAGGGTCGGAAGGTCGTCCTGACAGCCCAAGCCAGGGCTAAGAGGAACAGGTGGAAGAGGAGAAGCGAATGGTGGCACGGTTTCCTGAGTCACAGATTGGAAGGCATGGAAGCCACCCCTGGGGTGTGGAAGCCAGGGAAGGACAGGAGGATAAACGGCAGCAGTCAGACGCTTGGCTGAGGATAAGGCCCGGGAGATGCAGCTCACCAACACGGGAGCGGGAGCCCTGTATCTGGCAGCAGCCACTGGCCTGGAAGAGCAGCCCCAGGCGAACCGTGGCATCCGGGAGAGGGCCATCCAAGAGGTGCATGGCCGCCGTAAGGAAACAACATGGCAGCCCGGAGGCGCTGCATTACGAGGTTGTTGGCCGAGTCCCAACATCCCAGCTGTGGGAGGCCCCGGAGGTCCAGGTGAGAGTAATGGTGCAAAGCCACCACGCACTGTGGGCGTCAAACCCAGGCCGTGTTATGCCAGAGCGGGAGGAAGAGAAGTTGCATGAGTGCTGCATGGATTCTGCAGGGCCGCAATGCCAGCATGTTGGGGCATACATCGGGCAAAAGCCAAACATGCTTCTCAAAGGACACTTCACGGGGCAAATTGCTGGATACCTGGTGCCGTGGAGCTGGGTGGAGACGAGTGTGTTCAAGCTACAGCAGCAGGCCCACGAGTTCCAGGTGTTCGGGTTAGAGGCGGCCCTCCAGGCCGCGGTGTCAGCCTCCGATGTTCAAGGAGTTGCAGGAGTGAACCTGGCCGGCAGTGGTACTGTTCACGTGCACGGCCGTGAAGTTACAAGAGGCGAATGGGCAGCTGACTCACAGCCTACTAAGGAATTTAGGAGGAGGTTGACAGCAAGCGCAGGATGAGTGTGGGCAACAGAGCAGCATGGGAAGGGTGGCAATCGGGGGTTCCCGGCTTCCATGACCAGAGGAGTGCAAGTCGGAGCCCAGTGGGTGCAGGCTCCCAGATCCTAGTAAACCCGGGACTGGGAACGCCTCACGGTGGGGGGGCCGCGATGGACCACGGCTGAGCCCGCCTGCCAGTGTAGTGGTGGCTGTAAACCAGGAGCTGGGTCGGCGGGGATACCAGGAAGTGGGTGAAGAGCAGATTACGGAGAGTGTGTACAGGGAGAATGGCACTGACTTGTACTAGTTACGCAGGGAGGGGGCCCTGTGTTAAGGTGCAGGTTGGGCAGTGCTGCTGGTATAAACACCCAGCAACAGAGGCAGAATGGGTGGCCCAACGGGCGGACGCCCTGGTTAGCTGCAATGAGGCGCCACACAAGGAGACCCAAGCCCAGAGGCCCAGGCTTACTGTGTTGACTGTGATCAAGCAAGGGATAGAAGGGGAAGGAGCCGGAGGATCTAGCACTGGCTACCACACGGACACCCGGGAGGAGGAGGGAGCTGATCTGGACAAACTGCTGTCGTGAAATGATGACCCTTGTGAAGGCAGCAAGTGGGTGAGTGAGGAGCAGAAAGGGGAGAACCCGGCGTCACAGGATGAAAACCACTAGTGGGGACACCCAAGGAAGCATGCAGTGAGGCATACAGCTGCTACAGGAGGCTGGACAGAGGCTACAGCCTCTAGGGTGACATGATGCAGGAGATCAGCAGAATGAGCAAGAGTTGCAGAAGAGATCATCTTTTGCTTCCGGACCCGAGGACTACCAGCCAGGAAAGCTACTTACACATGTAGCAGTGTGGTGAGAGTTCTTCCAGGCAGCTAAAGAAGGCTGCCCCCTCACAGACAGAGATGTTGGCTAGGCCACCTGGAGGGAGGGCCCCAGCTGGAGTGGGTGTCATGCGAACACCCAGGACAACAGATGGTGCCTGAGCGGGACTGCAAGCTAGCTATTGTGCAGGAGTTGCTGCAGGTCGTGATGCTGGACTGCAACCCGGAAATAATAATGGCAGGTCACCGGCCGCATGCAGTGCAGTTCCTACAGCTGTGTCGTTACAGCCGAGTTAAGCACGGCTCTCTGCAGTGGGAGACTGGAATGCCCAGCTAATGCACTACACCCATGCTTATCAACAGCCTGTGAGTGGTGGGAAAGGAGGGCAAGCTGTGCCTCTACATCCATCCGAGGTACTTTAATTGTTTCCTGAAATACCAGCCTGTGCAGCAAGAACGCCTGGCAGATGTCACAAGGGCCAGGGGGAGGAGGGGCTGGTGAGCGAGAGGACCCAGGGTACCACTTGGGAAGTGAGTGGGGAAGGGGAGACCGCTCCGCGGTGTGTTTTGGGGCTGGTCGGAGTTATCTTTGAAGGGTTTGGGTACCGCGGGAGTGTGGTCGCAGATGCAATGGCCTTCCCCACAGAAAGTTAGTAGGGAGTACGGATCACACGCTGATATTTAAGCAATGCATGTTGATTAAGTGCTCGTCCTGTAGTGCGGTACAGCAAGTGTGGCACAGGAATTTGCAGCCCAGAGCTGGGCAGAGGACAGGGACGGATACCCTAGTTCGTTACAAAGATTAGCTGGGAACAAGGCGTTTTCATGCGAAGACTACGTTACAAACAAGTACCTGCATGCAAGGAAAGAACGTCTTCGTGAAAGGGTAGGGCCGGGAGAGGGCACACTACCACGAAGCG